AATCAGATCACTTTTACGAATATGAAATCAGATCACTTTTACAATCAGATCACTTTTACAATCAGATCACTTTTACAATCAGATCACTTTTACGAATATGAAATCAGATCACTTTTACAATAGTTAATTGTTGTTATTTTGCATAAATTTAAATGTAAAATTGGAAATAATATCTGTTCAAGAAAAAAAAAAAGAAAATCAATGATCAACGATCAACGATCAACGATGGACAATGTTGAAAAATGACGGAAAAGTGGAATTTATTCGATGAATTATTTTGAAAACCTTATACAAAGATCATTGTATGAGCATGTTTAAAAAAAAAAAAAATTCATATGTTCATAAATTTAAATGCAAATTTTGAAAGAGTATTCTTTGTGAAAAAAAAAAAAAATTGATCAACAATATAAAAAATGGAAACTAAAGCTAAATTTTATTAAAATTTCTTGAAATTAAATCGTAAAAAATTAATTTTTGTTATCTTTATTTATCTTTACAAACTTGTTCCTTGAAGTTTTATATTGTCCATTTATTATTGCTATTTTTTTTTTAAAGGAGAGAAAAAAAAAGTTAAGATTAATAAATCTTTATGTAAATTCTGCTTAACTAGTCAGTTATTAGAATTTTTTATAAGAAAAACTTTTGCATTGTTCATGAAATTTTGTTAAATAAAAATTTAATAACTAAATTATTTTATTTTATTATTAGTTAATTTAATCAATAGGCATATAGCTACAATTGGAAAATTCTCGTGTGATTTTAAATTTCAAGTCAAAATTTTGCATAACTTGAGGGTTCAAGCAAAATGTGTCACTCATTGTGATAGCATCAGTAGCGATTCAACCGATTCCATCATTGCATTCCCAGTGGAAGTTCATCGAACTGATATGTCACTCCAAGGAACAGATTCAAATCGTGGTATTTCAAATTTTTATCATTCCATTTTTTTTTTGCAAGAAATTATTATTACTTTTACTTCAATTATATGGAGTTATATAGTATAGATAATGTAGCAATTAATTAAGCGAAAGTATAAAAATAAAAATAAAAATCTCATGAATTCGTTGTTATAAAATAAAATTTAATTCGAAGAAAATTTCAAATAATTTAATTATTTATCGATAAGCATACAAATTATATTAATCTTCCATCAATTTTTACAAATATTCATTACTTTAATAAAGATTATATTGCTGCAATAATAATTAATCAATTACTAATAAAAAAAAAGGTAATGACAATTAATAATGAAAATAAGAAAGATTATATTGCTGCAATAAAAATTAATCAATTACTAATTAAAAAAGGCAATGATAATTAATAATGAAAATAAGAAATATGAAGCTAATTGTCATTAGATTTGGAAAATGATACGATACTTGGTAATTCAACGATATTTTCAATCGAAAATACAGCTTTGGATACACGAATGACATTGCAAAATGCATTAAATTGTCCATTCGAATATATCAGTAAGGTCAGTAACCTTTTTAATTTTTGTTTTGTTTGATATTTTTATATATTTAAATAATTGGAATTAATTTATACATTGGAAATAAATAATTTAAATAATTAATGATAAAAAACTTCTACAAATTCATATTTTTTCTTCCAATCTTTTTTAAAATTTTTAATTTTTTTTCTTAATTAGAAAATGGATCGAAATTTTAAAAAATTATACAAAAATTTCCATATAAATTATTATTTTATTTCATTCATTTCCATTAATTTTATTTAGTGCATTTGTTTGTTTTTTATTGTGTTAAAGTTGCATTAAATTTTAATTTTAACTCAAAATCATAAAATTAAAAATTCATCAAAACTTATATTTGTATTCATTACTCATAACGATATATTCTACTAGCAGCCACCCATATTAGCGATGAAAAATTATTGTTTTGTAATCAATGGTGATTTGGTGAATGTTGAACAAATAATTGAAAATTCCAAATGGTGGTGGAAACGAACAAGTTCCAGAGTGGGTTATTATTTATCAAAAAAGATGCAAACATTTTATGAGGTATGATTCAGGGATTAATTCAATTAATTAAAATATATTTATCAAAAAAGATGCAAACATTTTATGAGGTATGATTTGAAATTAGTCAAATACTAATTAAAATACAATCGTTTTTTTTTCCTTTTCTTTTTCTTTTTTGTTGAAACAGTGAAGAGGATTTTAACTTGAAAAAATTTGATAATTAATTAAAATTTTTTTTTTTCTGATTCATTAAGGTTGACGCACTACTTTGTCGTGGTGAATTACGTTGTGCATATGCACGAAAAGATCGAGCAACAATCATCGAACCAATTCCATTAGAACAAATATTCCGGTTCACATACACCTTTTTTTTCCCCCAGTTTTATTAAAATATATTTATGCAAAAATTTGTTTACTTAAAAATCCAAAGAAAACTTGAAAATTTAATTTAAAATTTAAAAGGTTTTCTAATCTAAAAATCAATTACGACATTATTTTTTTTTTGCTGAAAATCATAATAAAACTAATTACAATTTGTAATATTTGCGCTTCTTAGTTGGTTTTTATTAAAAGTAAAAATTTTTAGTATTTCTATTTTTTCAATTTTTCGTTTTTTTTTTACTAAAAAAAAACAAATTTGTTAAAAATTACTTATCAATATGAATATTATCAATAAATTTCTAATTAATTATCCATCAGATTCTTTCATTTTATTAAATCTTTTTATTTTATTAAATTTCAAAAAAAAAAATTAGCACAAAATTGCTAAAGGAAAAAAAAATCCCTAAATTGTTATTATTTTTCATAATTATTTAACATAATATTCATTGTATTATTGTTAATTCATTAATTAAATAATTCAACTTGTAATTAATCTTAGAGTATTTCGAGTATATAGTCATTGGAAGACATGTATCAGTTTTCATCGAATTATCAGTTGTATTAGTCCAGTTACAAAGAGTAAGTGAGCTATCGTTGGTACATTTAATTTTTGTTTCAGAATTTGAAATAAGCCTTGAAACTGCAATTTTTCTAAAATTATTTTTTAAATTTAAAATAAAACTCAGCATAATCAATAATAAAATGAAGTTTTATGGATGATAAAGAAGATTTGAAATGAAACAGAAATAATTAAAATCAAAATTTCACTAAAACAATTAATGTAAGTTGAATATTTGAATATCCATTACATAATATCAAGTTTGAATATCCAAGTTTGAATATCCAACAAGTTTGAATATGGATATCAAGTTTGAACATCCATTACATAATATCAAGTCTAGTTCATTTATTTTATAATCCATTTCAAATATCTCTCAATTCTAACTTAATTTTTAATAATTTATTATAATTAAACGTGTTGCTTTGCATAGCATTTTCAGATGCAATTGAAGTTTATGGCTTCCAAACACGAATTTTTGTCCAATATTTGTGGAGAACTGAAAAAGTTTGCCATTTTAAATTTGATATAGGAAAAAATAATGCATTTAAAATTTAATAAATGCTTAAATTTCATTTTATTTTCTATGAAAGGGAAAAGTTTTCGAAACTTTTGCTTAAAGAAAAAAACAAAAAAAGTAGAAGCAAAATGTTAAGTTCAACAATTTGTTTATCAAGATAGAGATAAACAAAAAAGATCAAAGATTAACCTTTTTTTTTTACATTCTTAATTAAATTTTCATTTGCTTTTGAATTTTACTTTATTTATTTATCTATTTTTCAATTTTTTTTTTCAGCAAGAAGAAAAACAACGTGTAGCACAAGAATATCGAGCAAGTAAGATTCCGATATCATCAACTACATTAAAGACTACTCCAATGCGAAGAGCATCATTAATTGGAACACCTGTAGGTTCTTATTTATATTCATTAATTTGAATAACAAATGACTGTTAAAAATCTGATTATAAAATTATCTTCAAGCTATTATTATTGAGTATATAATTAATTCCAATTTTTATTTCTGATTTTATTTAACAAACGAAAAAGTTATTAAGTATGCATTTACAATTTCTGTAAGTAATTTCCCATTTTTCAATTATTTATTATGTGATTTGAAGAATGGATCACCTTCATTTACACAATATTCGATTGATAATTCGACTGCTGTTACTGTAGTATCGAAACGTGGTCGTCGTTCACGTATTCCAAATCTTAAAGTGAATTATCAGCGGAAACAAACTTTCCAAACGGATCAATCACTCAATCAACATCATTCTTTGATACCACAATTGCGTAATGCAAGAATTAGAAGTACGCATGAGATCACCGAAACTTCTCAAGTTACATTTCCTGAATTAATTGGTAATAATCGACCGGTATCATTAAATGATTTTAGGCAACAATTTCAGAAATATCGAAAAAAAATTAGGACGAAAAGAAACTTTCCCAGTATAGCTAATTGTTAGCATTAGCATAAAAAAATTAAAATTGTTTAATTCTTACCTTTTATGTTAGGCTTTGTTTATTGTAATGCTAGTAATACATTTATTTAGTTTTTTAATAATCATGTATTAATTTTTGTATGAATGAAAAAACTATCGGTAGTTTTTGATAATTACAAAATACGTATGGAATTTTGAAAAAATATTACTTATTCCTTATCGAAATTTCAAATGAAGATTAAAGTTAAGACAAAAAAGAAAAACACATAAAAAAAACAATTAATCGTACATTGCTATTTATCACTTTACTTATTTATTTTATTATTTGCTTATTTTTTTTTTTTTAATCATTTATCATTTGTGAATACTTTGAATTTAAATCTTTGCACAGTAATTTCTTCTTCTTTGAATAGATTGAAATTTTATGCGAATTTTTTCTTACCTCAATAAAAAAGCAATTATAAGCAGATGTATATGTATGACTAAAATGTTTATCAAATTTATAGTTAATTAAGTGATTACAAATTTATCAATATAATGCAGATTGTTTCACTTTATGATAACCATAATTTCTATGAGAAATTGTCAACTTGTATATGAAGCAGAAATAAAAGTGATGAAAAAGTATATTTGTTACATGGATGGAAAAATCTTAAATGAAAATTCAAATTTTTAAAAAAATTTGTAATAGTAATTGCAGTGCAGGACAGATGTGACAGTTCTGATCAGTAATTTAATTTGGAAGAAACAAACGACAAATAAAGCCTTCATCTTGGTGACACTATCGCAAATGAATTTGCTACAGCAAATATACAGATCATGTAATTGCGATCATATTTGATATCCAAATCTAATTCTTCGAAATTTCATCCTTTCAAATTACTCGTCACCCTTCAATATAATTCCACATCTGCTAAAAACAATAAATATATGCACTTTATCATCTTCTTGAGATATATTTGATAATTCATTGGTATTTCATTCCTTGGAATATTACAGGGTTAGATATAAAGGTTTTTTAGCATACTTTTTTGTTAATTTCCCTATTATTCTAATTTGAATCTTATTAGTGAGTGGATTTTTTACTGTATTAATTGTTTTTGCATTGATTTTTGATGAAGATTAAAAAGACTGAGAATTGTTTTACAATGATGATGAAATATAATTGACAATTCAGGAATGATTAATGATAAAAATAATGCCTGAGTTTCTGTTATGTATATTATGAGTCAGTTGGCTGTCGTATTCAGCACAAAATAATGCATTTACAAAAACCAATCTGTGTCTTGACCACAGATAACCGTAGATAATAAGAATGTTAAGTAGTGGAAACAATTTACACAAAATAAAAACAATTCACAAAAACACACCATCTCACTTGGCCGAAAAAAAGAAAAAACGAAATCATGTCAACCATATAAAATTCACAAAAAATCCAATCCATTTTATACAGAAATCTAAATTAAATAAATATTTCAGATGAAAAATTTTGGTTTAACACAAACTGTCCATCTGTTCACAACATTGTTTTTTCCCTTCCTTTTTTTTGTAAAGCGACAGTTTCATATACTTCTTAACTTATAGCAACATTATTTCAAAAGTGACAAAAACCTTCTATTCGCCTTTCATCTTGCTGTTTCCATTCTTCAATTCTCATCCCTACTCAAATGACAATCCGATTTACGGCTTCTATAACTTGAAAATAGTTCGATG